TGCTCCCTGCTACTCTCTTTTGCCTAGGCCCCTAAGTGGCTGCTAATAGTGGACACCCCATTCCAACCTACTCATCAAAGTGGCTTCACTTGAGGTCTCAAGATGGCAGGAACCTTGGGCTTTTCCCTCCTGCCCTAGTCCTCATTGTCATCTGGAGGTCTCATGCCCACAGGCCTCGGCCAGGAGAGCCTAGTCTGCCCATTTGACCCTCCCCAACTCTTACCTCTTTTCCACCAGCATCTCCCAGGTGTGAGGGGAAACCCTGAGGGTCCACACAGCCAGGGTGGAGGTGCAGGTGACCATGCCACTCCCTGTCACATTCCCCTGCAGTCCAGCACTCACACAGCTTCACAACCTGTCACCCCTTCTGCCACCATCTCTTGGATGTGGATTGGTTGGCTCTGGCTCACCTCTGTGGGGAGAAAAGCCGAGGCTGGAGCCAGATCACGAGGGAGGCAGGGTCTGGTGTGGCAGAGGGCATGGGCTTGGGCCTCAGCCCTGGGTTCCAGTGTGACCTTCACCACTTACTAGCAGGGCGTGGCCTTGTGTAGGCCACTGTACTCTTGGAGCCTCAGTTTCCCCATCTATTAAAGGGGATGGAAGAAGGGTGGTTGTGAGGATTAAATGAGGAATTGCCAACATGGTCCCTGGCACACAGCAAGCACTAACTCCATGTTAGCCATTACTGTTGTTTAAAATGATCATTAGCGTTACTTACCAGCTCGGGATCGGAGAAAGAAACCGTCTTGTCATTCTCCCACACAGATGGCACGTGCTCCAGGCCAAGTACACCGAGGGCCCCGTGTTCCTGGGCCGAGGCCGTCAGCTTTCTCGGCCATGCTCGCCCGTCCTCTTTGCCAGCTGCCCTGCAGCCCCCTCCACTCCGCTGCCCACCGGCCCCACCGAGGGAACCTGGGATGGGGAACCGGGCTCCAGCACATCCATGAGGGAAAAGTCGTGGGGATGAGGGGTGTCCCCAAGGCTAGGGGTGGCGCGTGTGCTTCTTCCTCACCAGGCAGAAGGGGCGCAGGCATGGGGAGCTGCTCAGGCTGTCGACGGGCACCAGCTTGTCCTTCCTGCCCAGCTCTCTGACCAAGCTCTTGGCCCTCACCAACAGAGACGACTGCTCTTTAGGGGCAAAAGGAGCCGTGTCCAGGGCTGGGGACGTGGGGGCCTTGGTGAAGGCTGCCGGTGGGCCGAAATCCTACGGGAAGTGTGAAGACTGGGGAGCCCTGGGCCCATTTTCCTAATTGCTGAACGCACCTGGTCCTGGGCTAGCTTCTAAAGTCAGAAGGTAGGGTGCAGTCACAGGCAGCTGGTAAGTAACGCTAATGATCATTTTAAACAACAGTAATGGCTAACATGGAGTTAGTGCTTGCTGTGTGCCAGGGACCATGTTGGCAATTCCTCATTTAATCCTCACAACCACCCATCTTCCATCCCTTTTAATAGATGGGGAAACTGAGGCTCCAAGAGTACAGTGGCCTACACAAGGCCACGCCCTGCTAGTAAGTGGTGAAGGTCAGCTATCGCCTGGGGGATGGTGGGGGATGAGGAATCTGCTCAAATAGTGAGGGTGGGGGGTTCTGGCTGAACTGGCTTAGCAGGATTCTTGCTTAACTTGGGTCATGCAAGACAGACACAAAAGTCTGAAAGTTGAGGACTAGTTGGGAAGAGGATTCAGAGGAGCCTGACTAAAGGTTAGTTAAGGAAAGACGCTTTGTCAGACCTTGTTTTAATTATATCCACACAGACCCTATTTCCAAATAAGAATACATTCCTGGTAGACACAGATTTTTCGGGAGACCACTATTCAGCCCAGTACAATATCTTCACACATTTTTGGAAGAAGGATACTGAGACATTACCTTTTTTATCCCCTGTACTTCCTGCTTTTCTCATTCACAACCCACCCCACCCCACCCCCATTTAGGCAACAAAGTGGACTCTGCTCTCTGTCTCAGGGGAAGGAGGGAGCAGGGCAGAGGACACAGGGAGTCAGGGAGTCCTCTGGGTTTTGTGCCTAAAGATCTGAGACAAGAGAAGGAGGGGATTTGTGGGTATCTACAAAATACCTTGCCTGAGTCTCGTTGCCAAGGCCTGGAGTATCTTCATATGCCTAGCTTGTCTTTCCCTTTGCGAAGAAGGAGGCAAGGAGAGAAAATTCCAGAATAATGCCATGGCTGGGGTGAAGGGGAAGGAATGGGGATAAATGCATGACCCATTACTGACACCAACCAAAGTCTGAATCATGCCTCACACTCAGCCATGGTTTTCACATCCACAATCACATTTGAACATCACAACAACCCTCTTACTGAAGTAGATGAGCGAAATGAAGATTATCTCAATTTTACAGAGGAACAGAAAGGTTAAGAGACTTGACTAAGGTCACACAGCAGTGCTAGGGTGTGAATTCTTTTGTTTTCTTTTACTCTAAATCAGTTCTACCCAACAAAAATATAATATAAGCCACATATGTAATCTAAAATTTTCTAGTAGCCACATTAAAAAAGTAAAAAAAAACAAGATGAAATTAATGTAATATACATATACAATAATATAGTCTATTTAACCCAGTATATTAAACTGATAAGAACAGATACTACACTTGATCTTAGCCAAAAGTTCAAGAAATGATTAATCCAATATATTAAAAATATTATTTTAACACATCATCAATACAGAAATATTAATGATGTATATATATATATATATTTTTTTTTTGTCTTTTTCCGTGTCCGGCAATGGATCGCAACCCTCAGTGTCGCCCCCGTACCGGACCGGGACCGGCAACGGGATCGCAGCCCTCGGTGTTGCTCCCGCACCTCGCTCAGCCAGTGAGTGGGAACCGGTCTGTATGTGGGATC